CATTATCACATGAAGACACCAAAGGCTCCACTTTATGGTAGGATAGGAATGACAATGTCATGTTTAACGTAGTCATTTCCGGCTTTTTCTCAAGGCACGCATGGAGTATTCGGTCTTTCAGACATTATTCGAGTTAGGAGCAAGTCGTTTTAAAAGGACGGTTGCGGACGAAAACGAATACTTCGAACAACATGGCCAGTCGTTCGTCACGCCCCTCATTCATTTTAAAAACAAAAAAAGTATAATAAAGATGATAAGAAATTATTAATAAAAAATGTTAACTACGGCAGCAGCCATCAACATTAAGTACGAAGACAATCCCCTGGTGTGTTCATGTGGTTTTCTTAAAATGGTTTGCTTACATCCGTGCGATGGCGATGCTCCAATAAAAAACTGTACTTAAACTAGTACTCATCAAAATCAGCCAAGGTGAATAAAGATTGCTACCTAGGACGCATGGAAGTTCCTTAAGCTCCCCTTGCCCAAGTGTGTTGGACGTGACATATTTTGATGCTTATTTGAGCCTGATACTGAAATTGTTTTAGGCTTAAGACGGAAACATGGTGCGTTTTGAGTGTTAAGCACGGTAAACAAAGCTGCGTATGGCAGCACATGGCATGGTAGGAAATGTTACGATTAAGTGCTCAGTAGCGTGCGCTGGGTCGTAGAACTGGCAGATATTTGCCATCGCTCTCTCGTAACGTAAACAGAATGGGTCGGGAAGTTTATGCATCCGTCTTCAGAGCTCGTGCCAAGAGAGCTTTGGACTGGATTTCATCCGATGGGGATGTGTTGTTGGACGTGTTCCAACGTATCAGACTCAGGTTGCCCCTGCCAAGGTTGTCATCCCTTAACCTGCTCCGAACTTATGGAAAAGAAAACTGCTAGAAGCTGAGAACGCGAAGCTGAGAACTGAGGCCTGCCTTGGACGGACGTAGTCTTTTGCTTTAAGTTCTGCCAGAATCATGGTAACCACTTTTAAGAGACATTATATGATGACATGGAACGTGAGAATAAAGTAGTGAAGCTTGAAGCAAGTCTTTGCAGGAAGAGTTCACCGAACCGATCAAAGTCAACCGATTACAACCCTATCACTGACGAGTACACTACTCATGACTTCAGTGCCAACACTGCATGACGTGAAGTCTCGTATCAACATGCTTAGTTTGAGAGAAATTCTAGCTCGCCTTTCTGCCAGTGATATTCGGGCCTGAGGAGGCAAAGGGAACAAGCCTCTTTCTTACGGGTCACGGAGGACAAATAGAGTACTTTACGATAGTCAACTTAACACCAATTACTTTTTACCTTCTCACGTTCTTACCGTTAACTCGAGTTGCAGGCATAAATTTAGTAGACAGGTCTGAGTCCAATGGGCTTAAGCTGGTAAAAATCGTTAGAGTTTCTTTCAAATGTGGTTCGGCTTATTATTTATGCTGAACAGCCAGACTTTTGGTAACTATGGGCAAAGCTTGATTTGAAATCGGGTGCGTGGTGTTTCATTGATTCCGTAAGTAGGCAGCTTAGAGGGAACATTCCTTTCTAAGTAGGGATCCCGATGGTGACGCTGTCTACTCCACATGGCCTTGCCTGTTGAAGAGGAACGCGCCTTGTTATGTGCTTACTCGGATTCGTCTGCCGTGCGTCGTGTAAATAATTAGCTCACGAAAAACACGGCACAGTTTGTCCTTACCGGCGTGAAAGTTATGTTGGCTTTTTCAACGTCATTTTTCAGACGGGCGGTAATTTTTTGAGATCCAGGCCTGAGTGTTCCTAGTTTGATGATGTGCAGTGTGGTCATTGTATCTCATCAGATAATTTGGGGAGTGGAGGAAAACCTGTGCGTGGAAGTGCAGGTCAAAAATGATCCGTCACCGCTTAATGTCTTACCGAAGGTGGAATGATCACGATGTCCGGTGGAAGCTAGTGACTCAATCCAGTGGAGGGCTTCTTTGCCGCAACCAGAGCCTCCTGATGTGGGGTGGAGATTGGCCGTCCTGCCCGCGTTGCAGTACACCACTGGACGTTTGGTGCATTGCTTGCACATGCTCAGAGCTTACCAACGAATGAATTTTTCATTTCGGTCGAAATGCTCCATGTCTAAACTTTTTCTGACATGCTTGGCAACGACTCACTTTATGGCCGCGGGTCAACTGTCTAGACCCAGCCCGCGTCCGGGCGGCCGGTTGGATACCCTTTGCTCGGTTGGGTGTCATTTTGACCCTCTGAGATTTCAGGAACTAAAGGAGCTGGAGACACCACATTTACAGGGTATATCGACATGTACCTGAACTTACTTAGGTCAAAGTTTGATCTTTGCAGGTCATAATCTTCCGTTAAAATAAGGTCAAACAAGCCCAATCTCCGGGTTGGGCCGCAAAGTGCGCCCAGAACCTAGATAGCTGTTCCAAGCAAAACTTCTCATGATCATTTAAGGTCAGTGACATTGTTTCACTTTATGAGGGTGATGGTGACCCACATGATACAAGACTGATTCGAGTTCTGCATTTGAATGAGCGATAAAATTACGCTAGGCAGCATGCTCCTAAAAACAAAATTGACCTGAGTCCTTTTAGGTCAGTGACCTATTCTGATCTTTGAAAAGTCCATGAAAGATGCATAATGCGGTTCCTGTTATTAGCAAATTTAAATGAGCGCCAGAAACTACTTTTATGTAGCCAAACCCTGGAGTAATAATACAGACCGGTTTTGACCTTAGTCTGACCTCCAAAACGGACTTGAGATCAATGGAATTTGTTCATTCAATTGTTGTGTTACCTGAGAATATATCAGAGATGTATGGCTTCGTCCAACACTCCGTTGTTGCATCAGAATGAACGATTCTCTAGGAATCGACTTCGTAGAACTCATGGCCTGACTGACCTGGCGTAGGTCAGCGTCCTTACAAGGTACATCTATTTTAATACGAAACGATTTGGTATTTAAATGTCTACAGCTATGCCAAATTTGGCGTGGCTGCGCCGCGCCGTTCGGAAACCATTCTGGAAAAACCTTCGGGTGATCGATTTGAACCCCGCCCGAGCGCGTGCTAGCTGACAAGAGATTTTCAGCCATCCACGCGCCGCGTTAGTCACCCTACAGTTATGAGCGCAACATGGTCACCGCAGTCAGCACAGCCTAAAACTCCAACTATCATCAGCATCCGGAACAGGGGCCTTCGGGAACGGGTCATGTGATAAAGGGACCACCTGATCTATAACAAGGGCCTCTGATTTATGGAGGGTGTCTCCTAATCCAGAACGGGGGCCTTCTGATCCACAAAGGTGACACCGTTAGCCGGCACCCTCCGTAACACAAGACGTGGCCTCCTGGTTCCTCAATTCAGGCCCCAAATCAGGACCATCTAGCTCAGCTATGGAGCCTCTTCCATGTGAATTTGTAAAGCATGTGTGAGACCACAGAACTCAGCTTAGGCAAAAGGAGCCTTTCAAAATGGTTCAGCAAACACATGTTGTTGCTCCCTGCCTGCCGACGGGGGGCAAACAAGTCTCGCGGTAGGGCGGGGCGCAGAGCCACCCTGGTTTGCTTCCGAACGAGTCCCGCGCGCTTGACTTCTTCGGGATTCCACATGGTGCCCATTTTGTCACTAAATCATATTTTGCATTTAGGCATTTGACCTCTGGCTTGTTTCCCTGCATCTCTCTTTACTCTTCGCAGTTTTTTTTATCATTTTGGGTATTTGCCATTGACTTCATCTTGCTGGATTATTGCCGTTTGACTTTTATCCCTCTGTACTGTTCGCCGCCTTTTTCACATTTGACTCATTGTCCGGTTACCCCCACAACAGTGCTATCAATTGCACACACTCGCACTCTCCCCGCGCGATCATGGCAGGCCCCTCACAGTTCATTGAAGGATGGGGCCCGCCAGCATCGCTGTTGCTACCTATCTGTCCCGCCTGTCCGATTTGGCTTCCTGCAACTTCCGCCCCTCCCCCCTGTTCATGGTCAACGTTCAAGCTATAGAAATGCCGCTCTGACACTGAAGAAGATTTAGCACGAATATGAGAAGAGCGCGCCTTCTAGAGAGAGTTCCACTTGGACTACAGCCACGGCAGAAGCGCTGGGGTCGGTGTAACGCTGCACAGAATGACCGTTTCGGAGGGGATGGTTACCAAAATTACATTACGCATGGTTTTGTTTCATGACAGTAGTGATTGTGCTCTTTGATCGCACATTTCATAATTTGATATATATATATATATATATATATATATATATATATTAATACATATGTATGTACATTTAACGAGTGTGCAGATAACGGTAGAGACTTTCCAGGGGTTAATGACGTGGAAAGGCTTTAGTCGGCTTACCCAATCTTGCGTGTCGGGAGCTGCACTGCCGATTCTTTAGTTTCCCTTTCCGCTCCATTTTAGTCGGACAATTAACAGCGACACGAGTCGGATTCAATTATGTGAAAAATGCACTTAAAGGCCCACTAACCCTCGATAAACAGCACATATCTGTAACACTGATACGAGCCGCAAACTACATAATCATGGTGTATTTCAAAAACCACATTTATGACGTTCAAAGTCCGCAGTGTTTGCAAGCATTACGCCTTTTGTTTGGCGAGGACAGCGGACGATAAAAAACAAAGCCAAACTCATTACACTGTGGACAGACAGGGGCGTGGGTGGGCGACATTTCTTCGCAGGACCCTTTTGTCTCACCAGATCAGGTTGTGGTGCAACGAACGCAATATGACTGCGGCTTGGAGGAAATATAAGTTTGGGAGCTACTGGAGGAAAAAAAGAGGGCAGCCCGTCGCCGCCCTTCCCAAAAGGAGCCTGAGTGGTCAAAAAAGCAGGGGTGCGACCCCACTTCCGTCAGCGCGCGGACATCAGCACAGAGCGTCACTTCACAAAGCACGTGAACCTAGCCTTCAATAAATAATACAAACATGCACATACACACCATCCTTGATCACAACAGGTGATGGCACATACAAAGAATGCAAGGACAACTACAGCGGTATCATCAGTAGTATCACAGCGTTCTGGTAACCGACCCCGCCCCAGCCAGTCACCACCTCCGACTCGGCCGCGCACCCCCCGTGCTCGCGCCAGCTACTTGGCCGCCAGCGAGGCGAGCAGGCTGCGCTTCTCCTTCTGCTGAAGGTAAGTCTTGCGGCTCATGCCGGAGCGGAACTCCAGGATGTACTCGAGCTTGCGCACGATGTCCTTGGCCGTGCCCAGGTCCGCCTCCAGGTCGTGGTGCCTGTAGCCGCCGTCAGATGGCAGCAGGTACGTGAGCCGTACTATGGCCCGCCCTGTGGCCGTCGCGTACTGTTACCAATGCGCGGCGCAGCTTTGCCGACATATCACTTTTTCGTGGAGCACCAGAGACAACGCCGGTCCTACGGCTAGAGCTCAGTTAGAGTCATGGGCGGTTCTAAAGGGGCCAATGAGACCCCGCCCGCCCCCCCCCCCCCCCCGCCCGAAGTGTCGGAGGCCACCAACATTTGCTCTATTCTTTCCAGATTGTGCAACTATGACCAAACTTCAGCTCCCGTAACACGCATCGTGGCCCCTTCCCAACTCCCACGCTTGATTTGCTCCTGACTGCGACGGCGTTGGACGGCGCTGTCATCAGCTGGGAAACGAACTCAAGGCGTCTCATGTGGACGCCGCTCACTCCCCCTCCCCCTGGGCTATATCGCCAGCAGCCACAGACGTTCCAAAGGCGTACAGGACGGCCGTACGCGGCTGGCGCGACACGCATGTGACGCGGCCTGGACGGCCGATGCTGGCGGTGAGCCGGACGCGGACGTCCCAGCCGACCTGAGGCCCCACCCGGGGCCACGGGCTACCGGGGCGGCAGACCACCACTGACTGGGCCGTCACCGCCCCGGGACAGCGCGGCCACGGCGGCTACCGGGGCGGCAGACAGCCCACTGACCGGGCCGTCACCGCCTGAGGACGGCACGACCACGGCAGCAGCCGGAGAGGCAGACCACCGCTGACCGGGCCGTCACGCCAACAACGGCTTTCGGTACGCGTCGGGTCCCGTTAATATCCCAACACACGGCCTGGGGCGCGACAGGAGTATCAAGTACCTGTGCAATCGAACATTCTCGGGACAAACAGCCGGTCTCTTACCCACATAAATGCGACTCTCCACGACCCCGATAAAATTGGATGTTTACAACGCTGTGAAGGGTGTGCTCCCGAGCCGCCTATCCCTCTCGCTCCCCTCTCCACTTACCTCCGTACTTGACTTCCCACAGTCGGCACTCCATGATGCTGTCGATCTGGTAAGTGACCGCCCGCGGCTTGCTCAGGAACTTGGACACGTTCAGGGTTGACCTGACCTGGACGGGGTCAATCTCCACCCGGTCACCCGAAATACCTGTAACATGCACCGGGCACAGGTCACCAGCACGGGCCGACCCCAGCTCACGACCCGTGTAACCAAGCAACGATGGAACCACGCAATACGCTTTCGTTGCCGTTTCTGCCGAGACATACTGCCGATGGTAAACGCGGAGGGCTTTATAGCCCTAGTCATACGGAGTATTGTAGGCAGAGCTAGGATGTAACTGCGCACAGCGTGGGGAGTACAAATCTAGACCCAACAATCACTTTACTTTACCTTCAGCTTTTCAGCTAGCTGGACAGCGAGACCCTTAGAGGCTACAGTCCTACGAAGACCAGTTGGGCCCACGTTTAAGGTGTACCGAAGGCTCGTCAACCTCCCTGCAGAGGACGACAGTCGCAGCCATCGGAGGACTGAGCCATCGGTTAGTGGTGATCACCCCCCAACTCACGCGAAGCCCGCACCTGGCCCAACTATCTACCCTGCGGTGCTGAGTACCTGGCGCACGACATGGGCCTGCCCAGCTTCGCATTGCAATCACCGAACTGTCCTTCCTTCCAGCTGACCTATGCACTATCGCAATCATCCCGCCCAGTTACCGAGCTGTATTGGCGCCTTGATGACCAGGTTGGAGAGCATGTTGACCTTGAACGACTGGTACACGGTGGCCTCCATGGCCGACATCTGGCCGCTGAAGTTGGGCTCCTCCACCACGGCTGCGTCCTTGTGCTTCCTGCCAGGCGCTGAGGAGGGAGAGATAGAGGTCACACGGACTGATACGCTCGTCCCCACCACGACGGTCACACGGACTGACACGCCCGTCCCGTCACGACAGTCTCACGGACTGACACGCCCGTCCCGTCACGACAGTCTCACGGGCTGACACACTCGTCCCGTCACGACAGTCTCACGGGCTGACACACTCGTCCCGTCACGACGGTCTCACGGACTGACACACTCGTCCCGTCACGACAGTCTCACGGGCTGACACACTCGTCCCGTCACGACTGACACGCTTGTCCCGTCACGACAGTCTCACGGACTGACAACCTCTTCTCACAACAACAGTCAGACACGGAACGACATGCCTCGTCACAACCGCAAAATAGAGCTTTAATGTCCAACCCGGCGACATCTGGGTTAGACCACCTTAACAATGGTATAACCTGTTACATCCTATCAGACCCTGAGGAAAAAACCAGAGAGGACAAACACGAGTAATACAGCAGGTAGCACGGTCTTGCCGAAATCCCATCACTTTCCCACAGCGAAGCCCCGGCGCTTTCTGCAGCAGCGCCGTAGCGTGGACAGACCATCGGAGGCGACCCGCCAGAACCGTCATGAGGGATGACACTTGACCCACCTCTGCTTGGATTGCCTGCCAAATGATCCAGGAGCAAGCTGGCTCACAGGGATAAAAGATCGGAATCCGGAGGCGTGAATGATGGATGGATTGAGGACCTGGTGAAAAATATCCACATTATTCGTGGAGACGTTGCGAAGACAGAAAAAAACGTGTCATTTTAACCCGTTCACTACCCTGAACACCTGATAATATTTCCGGTCATTAAATGGGCGACTATATACACACACACATCAAATGGAAATAATGCACCAATGCATTGCCAAAGGCTGCTGCGAACATGCGGAGGGCGTCGATTAGTGCCCAGCGATCTGGTGCGGCTGGCACCTGTTTTGACGAGGTTGAAGTGCTGACAGGCGAGCTGAGAGAGCCGAGTGTCCGCGCTGAGCGGGGAGGCGGCCGTGCTGACGTCCGCCCTCTCCAGCGCCAGCTCCACGCCTGCCGACGCCCGCCCGGTCACACAGCGACACCGCGAGACGGATGGGAGACGGAGCTGCCGCTGCTGAGAGACTAAGGCAGGGCAGCTGATCCATACTCACCACATAGTCGTAGATGATATGGATAGCCATCACTCAGACATCACAACTACGTGCGAGGGGCCACGGACGGGCCAAGCACCACGCGTCACAAACCCAGCTGACCACGGGCCGGCCTCCGACGCCAGGCGGCGGGCTCAGCGGCCGGCCGGCGGCCGCTCACGCCCCGTTCGCACCTGTCTCGCGGGCCACGTCCGGCCGTTGCGCCAACACGGCGTTCAGCATCTCCGCCACCGTGGCGTTCCGCTTCTTCAGCGAGAGCGTCACCTGGTCCTTCCCGTCCGGTCCGTCCAGGCTCCTGCGCGACACACAGCGGCGGGCTGGAGGTGCGGCGCGGTTTGGAAGCCGGTGCGGTGCATCAGCCTGGATGCGTGGTAACGGCCTGGGATCGACAAGCAGAAGCAGCGGGGGCATGCTCTTCTCCTCACAGCACGCCATGCAGCGACCTACTGACGGCGGGCGTGATCCCACTGTCTCAACGGTTTGTCCTCTCGATCATCAGCTCCCCCCCCCCCCCCCGCGACCTACTGACGGCGGGCGTGATCCCACTGTCTCAACGGTTTGTCCTCTCGATCATCAGCTCCCCCCCCCCCCCGCGACCTACTGACGGCGAGCGCGATCCCATTGTCTCAACGGTTTGTCCTCTCGATTATCAGCTCACCTCCTCGCTCCAGCGCAATCAGGCCACCCTAGGCCCAGGTCGATCGCCTGTTCCCTCCCCTCCCCAGGCGTCACATCCTGGCGATGACTGACGCCACTGCCGGCGGGCTCGGCTGGTCCTCCTTCCCCCCCCCCCCCCTCCCCCTAGTGCTGGCCCCGCCACGCTTAGCGGCAGCACACGAGCGCGAGACGGCCAGAGTGAGGCCGCAGCAGGGGTCCGGGCTCACGGCGCTGCTGCGCCGACCACTCACACGGTCACCTCCGTCTGCTCCGTCTCCACCAGCGCCAGCACGTTGAAGCCGAACTTGGCCACCGTCTCGCGGTCGTCCAGCGGCGGGAAGTCCCAGTCGACCTCGCCGTCGTCCTCGGCTATGTGCAAGCTGTACATCTCCGGGGATCCCCTGCAGGGCGAGTGAGGCGCGTGATGTGGCGTTCACGTGGCCGACGCGGCGGCGGGAAACGCTCATGGCAAATACCCGCCCGACTCCGACTGCAGGCAGCAATCGCAGTGTGCTCGCACTCTGACGGACGGTGGTCCGTTTCTGGGGCCATATTGTCGTCCTACACGGGCTGGCGGGGAGGGGGTCCAGCCCTGTGCAGACCAGAAAGACGGCTGCTAAGGACTAACAATGGCCTGCTCCTCCGGTCACCCTGTCATCACACAGACTTCAGGTGGGACGACTGTCAGCTCTGAAGCCATCAGACGGATGACTTTCAGTTCTACACAGACCAGAATGTTGGCCCTACACCGGCCTCGGCAGCTTTGCATTGGCTAGTGGGACGGCTGTGTGCTAACCCAATCGACAGTATTATACTAAACTAGAGGATGCCTCTACACTGACGAGTGGCAGCCTTCGCCTGCCTGAAGGGCATATTTACACTGGCTCGGGGTACGACCCTGTATTGACCCATGGAATACTCATGCCCTTATCGGTGTGCAACTACCCCCCCCCCCCCCCCCCGTTGTCAGCTCTTTGCTGGCAGATGACCCTGCACCAATCTGAGCAGCATCCCTCCGTCCCGTACTGCCCCTAGCGACCCACTTATAGTGGCGTGGGCGGTGGTTCTGTACTGGCGCGGGCGGTGGTTCTGTACTGGCGCCGGCGGCGGTTCTGTACTGGCGCGCGCGGTGGTTCTGTACTGGCGCGCGCGGTGGTTCTGTACTGGCGCGGGCGGTGGTTCTGTACTGGCGCGCGGCGACTCTGTACTGGCGCGCGGCGGTGGTTCTGTACTGGCGCGCGGCGGTGGTTCTGTACTGGCGCGCGCGGTGGTTCTGTACTGGCGCGCGCGGTGGTTCTGTACTGGCGCGCGCGGTGGTTCTGTACTGGCGCGGGCGGTGGTTCTGTACTGGCGCGCGGCGACTCTGTACTGGCGCGCGGCGGTGGTTCTGTACTGGCGCGCGCGGTGGTTCTGTACTGGCGCGGGCGGTGGTTCTGTACTGGCGCGCGGCGGCTCTGTACTGGCGCGCGGCGGTGGTTCTGTACTGGCGCGCGCGGTGGTTCTGTACCGGCGTGGGCGGTGGTTCTGTACTGGCGCGCGGTGACTCTGTACTGGCGCGGGCGGTGGTTCTGTACTGGTGCGGGCGGTGGTTCTGTACTGGCGTGGGTGGTGGTTCTGTACTGGCGCGGGCGGTGGTTCTGTACTGGCGCGGGCGGTGGTTCTGTACTGGCGCGAGCGGTGGTTCTGTACTGGCGCAGGCGGTGGTTTTGTACTGGCGCGCGCGGCGGCTCTGTACTGGCGCGGGCGGTGGTTCTGTACTGGCGCGAACGATAGTTCTGTACTGGCGCGCGCGCCAGTCCTACGCTCACCTGAGCGGCGGCTCGCGATCCTCGTTGGTGTACTGCCAGCAGATGAGGCCGATGACGTCGGAGACGCGGGCGCTAGCCACCACCGTCACGGACATGGGGAATGCCAGCTCCTCAGCGGGCGCCATCGTCAGGAAGATGTTGATGCGCCGGGTCGGCACGCCCGCGTGAGCCTGACACAACGAGCTCCGGTCAGAGGGTCCGTGTGAGCTTGACACAGCGAGTTCCAGTCAGACGGTCCGTGTGAGCCTGATACAGTGAGCTCCGTTCAAAGGGTCTGTGTGAGCGTGACACAACGCGTTCCGGTCAGACGGTCAGTGTGAGCATGACACAGCGAGCTCCGGTCAGACGGTCCGTGTGAGCATGACACAGCGAGCTCCGGTCAGAGGGTCTGTGTAAGCCTGACACAGCGAGTTCCGGTCAGAGGGTCTGTGTGAGCTTGACACAGAGAGCTCCGGTCAGACGGTCCGTGTGAGCTTGACACAGCGAGTTCCAGTCAGACGGTACGTGCGAGCCTGATACAGCGAGCTCCGTTCAGAGGGTCTGTGTGAGCCTGACACAGCGAGTTCCGGTCAGAGGGTCTGTGTGAGCCTGACACAGCGAGCTCCGGTCAGACGGTCCGTGTGAGCATGACACAGCGAGTTCCGGTCAGAGGGTCTGTGTGAGCTTGACACAGTGAGCTCCGGTCAGACGGTCCGTGTGAGCTTGACGCAGCGAGCTCCGGTCAGAGGGTCCGTGTGAGCATGACACAGCGAGCTCCGGTCAGAGGGTCCGTGTGAGCTTGCCACAACGAGCTCCGGTCAGGGGGTCCGTGTGAGCCTGATACAGCGAGCTCCGGTCAGAGGGTCTGTGTGAGCCTGACACAACGCGTTCCGAGCAGACGGTCCGCGTGAGCCTGAGACAACGCGTTCCGGTCAGAGGGTCCGTGTGAGCCTGACACAGCGAGCTCCGGTCAGACGGGCCCACATCAGTCTGACTTGGCGAGTTCCCGTCAGAGGGTCTGCGTCAGCCTGATACGGCCATCTCCGGTCAGACAGGCCCGTGGGCGACCGATAGCCCGTGTCAGCGGCACAGCAGGAGACGAGATCGTGCCCGAGAGCAGCGAGAGGCGGGCTAAGGCAGACCCAATCTGTATGGTTAGCACATCTTAATACGCTCCACGATGCTCCATGGGTCAACGAAGACGCATGGCGTGAATCCCGGCCGTGGAGGCATCCGTAGAGTAACTGGAGGGAAACGTATTCCGCGATTCCGAACAGGACAGAGTAGCGCCTCTTGTGGCAACGCGGCCGTGTCGTATGGTACCGTAGTGTTCGCATGAAATCCAGCGAACCAGATTGTAATCGTACCCACCGAAAGTCGTGCGCTAGCTGGGCCTCCACTTCTACAGCACCGTAGTCAACAGCATTCCCGACAGACGTGATCGCGTCTTACCCTGCCGTCAAACTTGGAGTATTCCGTGTAGGGGTTGTCGCTCAAGTCCAGCATGTTGAGATGCTCTGTCAGCAGCGACGGCTTTGGACCCGCGTGGCGGACGATCGGCTTCTTTTCAAACAAAAAGTTCCGGTCCGCGTCTGGAATTGATGAAATGGTTGGCAAAACTCAACACTTTTCTCTGTGCTCCATTTGATCTCCTTGGACTTCAGAAGAACAAAAAGAAGCAAAACATGTTGAGGACGGTTGTCGAAATCGACAGCAGTTGTCTAAACCACACCAGTCCCAGTTTCCACACGCCGGCAGTGAAACTGACCGGGCAGCGGATCCGGGTTGGGCTGCCAGATGACGTTTTTAACGCGGGCCGCGTTCTTTCTCTCTTTCTTGAGCTTGTCCAGACGCTGGGAGGTGTTGGAGCGGCGCCGGTGGCCGCCGATGTCCATGTCCATGACGATCTCAGGCGAGTGCGGTTCGAAGTAGGTGTCCCGCTCGGCCGCGTCACCGGCGGCCAGCGACTCGGCCGACTCGACCGTCATGACGAGCTCGCACACACCTGGACCATAGAGCACTGTCAGAATCTCACACTAGCACATGGCTGGATCACATGCTCACAAACACATAAGCATGCACCTGTATAGGGGATGGAATAAGCCACTGAAGTCAAATTCCAGCCAACTGACCCAGGCAATGGTTCACAGCTGCTGGAGCTGCTGGCCATACCTACTGATCCAGATCACTACCACTTTTGATCTGTGGTACAGCTGTGTTTCATAATCTTATGGAAAACCTTCTAGCCTCCTCATTTATACATTTAATATATACCAAGACTGATCAAATGCATGTATGACATAATAACTACACAAATAAACATAAGGAGAATAAAATAAGCCATATAAGTACCACCAACAACATAAATACCTGTATCATCAGAGGTGATGAAAGAATTCACAATATGTGATTGCAGCCATTCAGCATCATCAAAAAAGGCCATGTTGACTTTTCTCCAAGAGTTCCTGCTGGCAAAATATTTATTTATAAGGGGCTAAATATATTTTTCACACACATGAGCATGCTGAAAGAACCTATAAACTGTAATGGTAGACAACCCCAACTGCTGTGAGTCAATGACTTGGAGTTAAAACTGGTGAGATTAATGAAGAATGGTTCTTTGTGACCTCAACAACCCACTACATGGGAGACTTCTATATACTTTGCTGATATCTGTCTATGCCCCCCCCCCCCCCCCTTCACATTTATCCTAGATGATGATAGTTTGACTTCCAGCTGCCATAAAAGATCAGCATAGACTTTCAATGACACACATGCACTATAACTTTCAGAACAACATTCTATAGATCTACCCTAATTCCCACACACTAAGTCTTGCAAAGGCCTTATGTAACACCCACACTCTCGCCTTCTCATAGCATTGTTGGCTGCAAGGTAAAGGACAGCCAGAACTTAACCAGCCCATATCAGAAACTGTAGCTAACAAGTTTGTAGACATCTCAAGGCACAATTAAATGTCATGGCATTGTCAGCTCTGCTCCAGCACATTTTAACCCATTTCCAACTGATAAAAAACATATGAGTGAACAGGTAAAGGCAAACAGGAATGTAAAACCACTTGCCCACTACCTGCCAAGTGTTGGCTGGGGCATCAGAGGACCTGCTGAGGTACATGCATGGGATATAAATATGGCAAAAAAACAAAAATATGAAATATGAACGAGCTAGTCAAATATGAAAGGTGCGAACGGCCACAGAGCACAGCGCGCAAAACCCGGATTGTTGTCAAAATAAGGACCTGTCTCCCCTTTCCATTGCAAACACCTGCACACATTCCTCCATGAGCATTATATGCAGGCGTTGTTTAGATGATTGTTACATCTTCCCATCTATTTGATAACCTCTGCGCCTGACGCCGCAGTATTTCACCTTTCGGCCAAAACCCGGCTACAACACCATAGTTTTTTCAGCATACAAAATTGTTTACTTTATGGAAAAAGTGTCAGTGAATGTGGCGTGACTGCGTATCGAGGTCTAAGAGGATCAAAAGACCAGCTGATGATGACGTCATCCATAACAGTAAAAAAAAAACAACGTGGCTGTTGGGGTGTTTATTTGTAACATAGTCGCTGAAGGCTTTCTTCACAACAAATCTCAAAATGTCTGCATTAGTCCTAGCTAATTAGGATTCATCAGAAATGCTGCAAGCACAAACATTAATCACTGCTACTTAATGCCAAGGCGTGTCGCATGCTGAAACCATCACAGACCGTCGAGATTGATTACGTCACGTCAGCATGGTTTGGGACATTGTGGGATGGTCGACGGAACAAAACGGATTTCCTTATGGGAGAATGACGCTATACTGGCATTGCCAGCCAGCCCTACCAAAGCGCTACCGAATGCAGATAGTCACATTCATCGCGGATGATTGCATCGTTCGAGCACAAGTGTTGGAGCACGAAGGATTTCACATGATACATGGAATTTTGCGAATCGTTGAATGCCGCCGGCTAACCAACATGTAGTGATATGCTGTCTGAGAATCGACCGAATGAGATAGATTCCCAAATCACGGGCGTGCGTTATACTGGCAGATGGCATCCCGTAGCAACGCTATCGAATGCACACGGTCGCACCATTCGCACGAAGTTTTTTAGTAGTTTTTAGTAGTTTTTCGGGCCACCGTATTCTGGCCTTCGGGATACCGGCAGGCCGGCCGCAGATAATCTGCGCCGTCAAGGTGTGATTTGAACAAAAATGTAATGTCGGCTGATGAGCAATTTACAATCTCGGTCGAAAATGCTACCAATTCGAGTTTGTCTGCACATGGCGGCACCCTCTACGCAATAATCAAAGGGAATGTTCCACGTTTAAAGATTTTGAGGCAAGAGTCGAGCGATCGAGTATGTTCATCTCTAACTATTGGAAAACTTGGCGCCGGCATGCAACACAGAATTAGTATCAAGTAAAAATGCTTATCAATGCATCATCGTTTGATCGTATCATGAAACGTACATATGACGCTTGAGGGGTGCCAAACTGACAGCGCAAAATTATCACCCTACCGGACAGGAGTTGACTCACAGCTCTTCAACTTCTCGAATGGTGTCGGACTAAATAGTGCTGCGCTCCGTGATCTTATGGTGTTAACTTACATTCACATGATCGGTTATGGAGCCTGTCTTAAGCTATTCGACTACAAGTGTTATATTCATAATTACTGGTACCAACGTCCACCTTCCCGTGTCGCACAAAACGTGATTGTGTTCCAATTTTCCACTGAGCACATTCCAGCGGGCGTCTAGTCAAAAATATAGAGGACACTAGCCCTGAAGAAGGGAAGGGTTGTGAACTACATCAAATGATATTCAAGTCGTCTTTCTTAGTTCTAAACCTCATACGGATGTGAAACACTCTTTTCAAGTTATTTGACATTCAGCGCCGTATATGCGCAAATCACTGCTGCGGTCCAATCCCCAGCATTGATTTCTCGACGTCGTGTGGTCGACCGAATAAATTTGAAACCAATATCCGACGGGTGTGTTTTACTGGCAGCTGATAGCCCTGTACCAGCGCTAACCAATGCACACGTTTCACTCTTCGTGTGCGAATGAACACATTTTCTCGGTCTGTCGTGTTCTGGCCATCTCAATGTGGCAGGCCGTCCGCTGTTAGTTCGACGCCAGGGGCAACGTGAACAAAAGAGGTCATCTCGGACAATGAGCAAATTTTGCTGCCGGCTGATATTACTCTCACAATGTTGTCTTATGCGCATGGTTGCACTCTCCGTGAACGAGTTAAATCATTTTAATTTGGACATGATGTTTGCAAGTCGCCGCTGCGCCATCCCGCCAGCGTTCAACGATATGCTGTGAGGGGTCGACGGAATGCCACAGATTACATACGCGGAGACGTATGTCTTGCTGGCAGATGATGAACATATACCTGCGTTATAGAATGCATACAGACGCACTTTTCCGCGAGATCATAACTATGTTTTCGGTTCGTCGCACTTTGACAATGACGCTACGAACAGGCCAGACGTAGTTAGTTATGAGCCATCCAGGGATAATTTGAACAAAAAAGGTCATTTCAGCCCGTGAGCTATTTACATTCTCGACTGAAAATGCTCCCACAATGGCATCTTGTGCGCGTTGCTGCACACTGCGCGCTCTAGTAGGAGTACTTCAAATTGGACGCCGTTTGTTTGCAAATGGACGTTGCGACCTGTCCGTCATCATCAAGTGATATGCTTTGGGGGTCACCCGAATAAAATCGGAACTAAAATACAGCCAGTGTGTTGTACTAACAGCTGATAGCCTTTTCCCATTGCTATCGAATGCACACAGTTGCACTCCTGAGGTGCGATTGTAACTGTTTTTATCTGGCCACCATATTCTGGCCATCACGCTCTTGGCGAGCCTGCCCAAATTAGCATGGCGCCGACATCTGAACTGAACAAAAAGGGGTAACGTTGAACAACTAGAAATGAATTAGGTGCAGTCATAGGCATACGGAAAACACTTATAAATGCACCTTAAGAGTAGGACTCTGTGCATCCAAAAGCACTGGTATCGTGCTATGATCTGCGTATACCGCAAACTCCTTGGATTTTGGTTTCGGTTTTATTCGCTCGACTGCGCAACACAACATTCCTGCCGATGCTGGCAGGACGGTCGCAACTTGCAAAGCTACAGTGCCCGACATAAAATGTTTTACTTTTGAACGGTATGTGCAACCATGTGCACACGACGGCATTATGGGAGCACTATAGGCCGGCGATGTAAATCGCTCATCGGGAAACATGGGCTATTTTGTCACATCAACCTTGCTGCCGCATTGCAAACTGAGGCCAGAATAGCACTTAAGTGATGGTCAGAATATGGCGGGCCGGGGAAAAAACTACAATCGCACCCGAAGAGTACGACCGTGGCATTCGACAGCGCTAAAGCTAGCGCATAGGGCTAGGGCACATGAGTCATCGCACGCAAATGTCATCGTGGGAGCACTATCGGCCGTCACCGCAAATCGCTCATCGGCCGACATGACCTTTTTATTTCAGGTAAAACACTGACAACGCATTACAGGCTGCGGCCGGGTTGCCCGGCACCCCACATGGCCCAACACGGCGGGCCGGAAACATATCCATAACTGCGCGCGGATGGTGGGATCGTATTTTTGCGATAAAGCTTGTGCAGGGCTATCATTTCCCGGTGCTACCCACGTCTTTGGTGGGGGAATCTATTAGATCCTTTCCAACTATGTCACCACATCATTCTATGCTGGTGGGTCGCCTTCACGGTCGATTTAAAAAGATACGATGTCCAACCTTAAACACCTCCACACAACCGCTAAGTGTGCAACCATGTGCGCACGATGACCTTGTGGGACCACTGCCGGCCAAAATACTAGTTATCCATTGTCCAACATGACATGTTCACACCACCCCTTGACCTCTGATTACTAACTGCGGCAGGCCTGCCCGTGGCATGATGCCACAAATACGGCGAACGGGAAAAAATAGTATAACAAGCTCTTCGCGTCACACTTCGCGTGTATTATCTCAGCCTCCGCGGTCCTGTCTCTCTCGTCTCGCACCCTGTCCTCCACTGACCATCGGCCAGGGTCACACCAAGCGTCCGTGATGTCCTCCGAAGTTAAGTATCTCTTCCTCCCTTCGACACATGACGGCGTCGCTACCGACACAGCGACGATGACCAGGATCAGTTGGCCGCTCCCCGGCTAACCCTGGTCGTCCCGTCAGACCTCCCTCGGAATCTTGCATTCCTCCGTCATGTCGTGCAGCTGCTCCAGCCCCTTTCCCCCGCACCACTCCCACCACACCGACCACATCCTTCCCTTCTCATAGCTCACAACAAAGTCCTTCTCAGCAGCCGGCTCTGCCGGCACGGCCACCGCCGCCGCTACCCATGACACCCCAGCCATCTCAACACCAAATCTCACGTGGCCTTTCGAGCTCACCGTAACGCCACGCAGGGCTCTGACACCGTTCATTCCGAGAATGAAATCAAACCCAAGTGGTCAACATGCCACCACCAACACGTCTGGAGGCACCACTTTGCCGAACCATAGTCGCACGCTCGTCACACCTGTTTCCCCACACCAGTACCGCTCTCTGCTCACCGTCGTAACGCTCACCGAGCGTCGATTCCAGTTCCGACACACCGACGTGTGTGCTACACACTGACTGCACCCCGTATCGAGCAGTACCCCACAGTCCGTGCCGCCCACAAAAAGCCGCACGACTGGCAGCGCGCCACTCACTGACGAACGGGACAGGAAACCGGCGCCGAGCCCTCCTCCCCAGCGCCGTTTTCCGGGCAGGCAGAGGCGAAGTGTCCCACCCAGTTGCAGTTGTAGCACCTCACGAAGCTGCGGCCACCGCGGAGCCCCACTCGGCCACGCTGCCCGCAACCCGGCTTGCAGTCGCGGACTGCAGTCGGTGGCCGGGCTGCCCGCGCGAGTAGCACTTCACAGTGGCCGCTGCCGCTGCCGCTGCCGTCCACACTGCTTCTCCGGCGGCGGCAGTCACGGCGTTTGCCTCCTATTCGGCGAGCACCGATCAAGCGCGGCTGATCAGCTGGCTAAGTATCAAGGCTTCTATGCGCGTTCCTGCTTGGGGCGCGCGGCGGGCCGACTCCGGCGCTTTTACCACGAACGCGCAAGCTAAGCTGTCGTCTGGTATACCCCCGAGCAGACCGGCGAGCCGGCGCAGCTCTGAGACGAAGAAGTTTACTGCCTCGCCATGATGTAGCTTTCTCCAATCGAAATGCTCATATGCCTCGCACCGGCCCGCTGCAAAGGCCGATGTTAGGGCCTGTTGGGTGTTTTTAAGCTTCCCTTGTTGCTCTCCTCGAGCTGCTAATGTACGGCGGATGCGCCACCACTCAGCCTGAGCGGGGCGACCACGTGCAGTCCACTGATTCCCCGCAGCTCACACACGAGCTCAACTTTTACTAGCCACTTACTCACCGCCTGTGACACGCCGTAAAACATCGGGATTAGCTGGAGGTCAGCCGCAGCGTCCGTCGTGTGAGCTAGCGGCCCAGCACCGCCTTAGGACGCACTATCACAGTGGTCTTCAAAAGCCGAAATAGCTTGTGCGAATCTCTTCGCGTCACACTTCGCGTGTATTGTCTCAGCCTCTGCGGTCCCAGCTCTCTCGTCTCGCAACCTGTCCTCCACTGGCCGTGGGCCAGGATCATCCTGGCGCCTGTGTTGTCCTCCGTAGTTAATTATCCCTCCCTCCCCTCGCCACATGGCGGCGTCGCTGCCAGCGCGGCGACGATGGCCAGGGTTACAGCCCCGTCCGCCCGTCCCAATAGCTGACCGCCGTGCCAAAGATAGGGCACATCGCGCTTCGCTTGACTACGGCCACAACGAGCACCTCCAGAACTCTCGCACAAATCGTTATAATTGCATGTGAATGGGGCGACTGTGTGCATTCTAAAGCACTGGTGTATGATTGTCATCTGCCAGAAAACCGCGCATCTCCCATAAGGTACTACATTTTGGTCGTCTGACCGCCCACACCATATCACTCACTGCTGTCATGCCGGCCGCTGCGACGTTTGACATAAATACCATGTCAAACAAACAGTTTACACCCGTGCGCGGAGTGTACAACCATGCAAATGTGACAGAATCGTGCAAGCACATCGGTCAGCAATGTTAAATGGCTATCGACCGATCTGCTTTGTTACGTTCAAATCACCCACTGACGCCGCGTTGTTAACTGTGGCCGGTATAGCCGTAGAGTTATGATCATAATACGGCGGCAAGGGGAAACAAATGTCCGCACCCTAAGAGTGCAATTTTGTGCATTCATTACCAGTGATCAAGGGCTGTCAATTGCCAGGACAGCTCAGTTATACGAATTTTGTTTCGATTTTATACGGTAGCTCCCTAAAAACGTAAAGCACAGTACTACAGAGGAAAACCGGACGCAACGTCAAATTACCATGATGCCACGTGCAATTAACGATAAATTTATTAGTGCACGGAGTGTGCAACGATGTCCACACATTGCCAATGCGGTAGCACCATCGGCTGGAGATGCGAAAAGCTCATCTGCCGAAACGAATTTTTTTGGTTCAAATCAACCCTTGACAGCGCATAGCCAAAAGCAGCCGGCCCTCCGTAGCGGGATGGCAACAATACTTCGAATCGGGTCAAATACTTTCTTCACGCACGCATAGTGTAACTTCGTGCATTCCATAGCGCACGTAAAGGGCTAGTAAAACACACATCTCTGATAAGAGAATATCTTTCAAACGGTCTACCCATAGGCGAATTACAAAGATGCCATGCGTGATTTAATACACCGTTGTGCGCAGATGGTTCGACTGTACGCACACAGTGCCAAGTTGCGAGCAGCACACGCCGACAACGTAGATCGTTTATCATCTGACTTGATCTTTTTTTATTCACGCCACTACCTGCCAGCGCTACTTACTTCTTAAAAGGCAACTTCCTGACGTAGCCGAACAGGTGATCCGTGTGCTTGCAATAACACTGGTATCGAGCTATCAGTTGCCAATACAGCATGCTTATTGGATTCTGGCTGAAAAAAACAAAAGCATCCGATTAGAAATTCAACCGAGCAACCATTGGTAAATTAGTTACTGGATCATGTCGACGAAAATATCAGGGACTGTCCCAAATAAATGTTTTTCCGATCGTCTACAGCTTTCCCCCTGAGCGAAATAGGCAGCTTTTGTTTGCGCGTTTGTGTGCGAGCTGTCATGTCCTCAAGTCGTCAAGTCCTTGTCAAGCCAAGATAGGCAGTTTTTCTGTGCACTGCCGACTTGGGATTGAAGAGGCCTTCATATTTAAGACAGGGTGTTTCGCCCATGCATGATTTTGCAATTTTCGGGAATCTGCTGACCCCTAAAAAATGTCGTACACTTGCGCTGCCAATTACCGGGTGGATGAGGTTTAACTTCCACTACATTTCTTAAAGTTGCATGTGACTCTTGTCATCATATCCAAAGTTTGTTTTACCTCGACATCTTTAAACGTGGAATAACTTCAGTGACGTCAAACAACCGTTCAGCCTATGAGTTCTAATGATTTGGAGCTGGTATGCAGGCCAAGCGGGAACGGGTGGCGAAGCGCTCAGGTCTTTTACATCTCCCTAGGTCTTGTTGTTAATTAAAAATACAAGATGAATAAGAGTGAATAGTTTTGATATTTTAAAGATGAAAATAATATTTTCTACGATTCAACAGCACACAAAAATTGATTAATTGTAAAAAGTTAGTCCTATCGAAATCCTTCACAGAAGGATATCCCGGCAAGAACGCGCACCGGCGGCGTGATAGTGCCGCCATATTTGTTTTCGGGCTTGAAAATTACTGAGAGGTGTTTTCCGGCCGAAATTTCTGTAAGTATGAAATGTAACCCCAACGAATGGGCGGTGAAGTAATCTTTGAATGAGTGCATAATGGTATCAATGAAAGTGTTTGAGTTAAAATTATCCCGACGCGAATCCAGGGGTCGGAACAGCCCACGTGGCTTCACTTTGTGCCGGCTTTTTCGTTTTGTCTGGTGGAGTCGTGCTACACTCGGGGTAGTGTTGACCTTTAAACGAACAAGGTGTGTATGATATAGCGATTTGAATGGGACGTGGAACGACGTCTCCGCTGCCCCGTTAAGCCCGAACGTGTGCGATGCATTTTGCTTCTTGCATTATGGGTTTCAGGATGCTCACATAAAATCATAGAGCTGTTTGATCATAGTGGTCTGCTCCTGTACTTTTCGGGAAAAAACGAGGTGGTGTAGTAAGATGAGATGAGCTTGGGAGAGGGCGGAGGAGCGCTGAATTTATGCCAAGTCTAAGAATCAGTGGGGTGGAGATATCAGCTGTCTGCTGAACATAACCAAATAGTTTTGATGCAGTGACAGTATAGTAAGGAATGCTGAGGTGACTGGAAAAATACATGTAGGCCATGGTTATGTTAAATATGTCATAATCATATTCACATAACTTTTAAGTAACACTAGTTAAGCTGTGCTAGGTTATACACATGCCCACCATTTCTGTAGTAAGAAAAGAAAGGAGTCTAAAAGGTAATGAATTGAACTGTGCTGTTTATGGCTATGGCTATGGGGTTTTAATTTTAAAATCTTGAAATACTTTTCATTCTGGAAAAGGTGGGTGAAAATAATGCTATGGGCACATGGAGAAGATTGGAGGAATGGCTAGAGCAAGTTGATTTTCTTTGAGGGGCTTCCAGGAGGGTAGAGGAAAGGATAGGCCTGTGTGCTGATCATATATCAGATGGCTGTTGTTTGGGGGTCACCTGGTTTTAAGCTGACAAAATGGCATGATGCAAGGTGTAGGGTGAAAATTAGTAGTCTGGGGAAATCAAATGCTCATTAACATTGATATATGTTATGTATCTTCTTTTATATTTTGGGGTTTTCAGGGTGAGTTAATTCTCCTTCAGTTATCAGTTTTATATATTACGCCACCAGTCATCTAGTTGAAGCTCCCCTGCAAGGTGCCCTCAGCAAATCACCTGTTTGGTTATGTCACCTCTCTGGGAACCATGTGGCCTTGCTGTGGGCTGGTCTCATGAACAATACTAGATTGATCTGTGATTGAATTTAACATGTTTTGACTTCTGTTTTACCTTCACATGTCTTTTTAGGTTGATAGTTCATATCCCTCAACTTGGGTTAACACATACTCTTGTAAGGGGTCAGTTTGCCCTACCCCCTAAAGGCTTTCCACAATGACCTCTAAGCTGTGTGGCATAGCAGTGCCAAACTTTGCATGGCTGCAGGCAGTTGAATAGCAGATCTTATGGTATGAAACAGATGTATATGGTAAGGTCACTGACCTGAGGCCAGTTAAAGTCAGGCCTTGGCTGTCACTGACAGCCATTTCTAGGCAGTCATTCAATCTGGTGGAAAACAGTGTTAAACAAAGCCAGATGTCTCTTAGAGAGCTATTAGGCAAAACAGACTGAATTTAGGATTACAACAAATTCCATTGATGTGGTCAGCTATGAATCTTGGACAAAGATCAAAACCAACCTGTGTTTTTACTACTTAGGCTGCTTAATCAGATAGTTTCTGATCCTGATCTTATCTTTTTTGATGACATTTTGTTTTTAAGAATATACTACCCAGCTTTGTCGTTACACCTGTTTGAATGGTAAAATAGCAGCAATCCTATTTTTTTTGGACAGCTTCACCTCTTAAAGATATAAAGATAACTGGCCTAAAATTAACATGATTCACCTCTTGTTCAGAACAGATATCCAGGTTCACAACCATTGAGTGACATCTTTCACTTGTGTGTAAGATATTGATTCCTGCCTAGGACATAGTCACTAAGAAAGGCAGTATGAGTTCCCTTGTTAGGGCTACCTTGTCATGCCCAGGTGCCTCATTTTAATTTTCATGCAAGTGTGAGGGGCAAGTGTGTGGGCTGTGGAGTTAATATGCCCTGCATTTTCCAGGACATAACATCATGGCAGAAGGAAATGGAGATGCCGCAGTCAAAGAAGAACCAACAACTTCCAATGAAAGATCTGAAGACTTTCAAAAATTAGTCGAGCTTGGCCTCAATGAAAAAGTTGCTGTGAAACTTGATGAGATCTACAAAACAGGTTTGTGATGGAAATAAATGCCTTTTTTGTTGTAGTGCACACTGTTAACTGAAGCTTAGGTATCACAGAGCTGAAGCTGGTGTGCTTGAATAGCCAGCTTATGTGTTCAAAATGTCATATTTCTATTGAGTTTTATCATGCCTGTCATTACAGTAACTGGGCAATCTTAGTCAAACCTGCATTGCTGGGTTTGGTGCATCATAGATCATCTTTGTACTGAGCCACAGGGAACATGTTAACTGCATTTTGTATGACATGCCTGGCTTTGATTGGTATGCCAGACATCCAGCATCCAGAAGATAAAAACATCAGCAGAGAAAGTAGTGAAGGTCAAACCACACAAGTATGCCACAATGTTCGCAAATGGTGTAGACACGTGCTTCCTGCTCCCACCATCTTCTGCCATGTCC